CCTGAATTTTTGTTTTTATTGATATTTGTTCAATATGGAGGTCTAAAATGGGTCGCCATCCCCCATTTTTCTTTTCTGTCAAGAAATAACATGAATAAAACCCTTCCTCCCTGTGCTGAATAGGCACTGGCTCTACAGCTCTTAGGTGGATAAGGCATTGCACCTCTGAACAGAGTAATAACATGTGAGAAGGGTCCCTGAAGAAGGTCAGGAAGAAGTGGTGGTTTGGGGGAAGGAATGTGAATGAAAATGGTGTATCCAGATTGAAAGATCTCCAGGACCCAACAGTCTGAAGTGATAGCTTGTGGAAGAATGGTCATAAACAGAAGATGAAGGATTGGTTAGTCACTGTAAGCACTGTGGCCTCATTGCTCTCGAACAATGCCTCAAATTTGCTTACTGGAGGCTGCAGGTTGGGTCACCCCAAGAGCTGGAGGGCAATGTCTTTGGGCTCTGGGTCTCTAGCATTGTTGGTAATGAGTATCATATTGTCTTTGCTGCGCTTGGTACGAGTAATAGAGGTATCACTGTCATTGGTTTGGTTGATACCTATATTTTTCTTCTTTCACATAGGTGTTTATATGCCCAAGGATCTCAGGGTTGCTCAAGAGTCCTTCATGGAGTACAGGACCTCATTGGTGTTGGCAGCAAAGAGTTTATGCCCATTAAATTGAAGATCCTCTATTGCAGTGTGGTTTTCTGTTGGGAAGGAGGAAGATGCAAGCCAGGACACATGACGCAAGATGACCGCTATGGCTATGATGTGGACACAGATGCCAGATTCATCTAGTGCAGCTTGGAGCACTGTGGGATATTAACTGACCTTCAGAGACCAGGGCCTTCAATTGAGGTTTCTTCTCTGAGGCATGTCATCAATAAAAGTTTGTATTTTGGAGTAGTTTCTGTGGTATTTTGCTAACTCAGCCGCATAACTGGCCACCTAGAATTACAAGGTGGAGGAAGAATATATTTTACGTCCAAATGCTTCCATTTTTAAAATTATCTTTATCAGATGAAAAGGTCTTGAACCGTTGCTGTTGCTTGTTCTTTTCATTAGCTGTTTCCTAATGAGTAGGGAGAAGGGTGTGTGTAGAGGAATTCAGTATTCTTAGAGGACACGAAGTACTTCTGGTCCATGCACTTGCTTGTGGGTGTGAGGAAGGCAAGGCTCTGTGATATAGTTTGTGCAGGCTGTAGGGTGGCTACATTAATGAGGTGTACTATTTTGGACGTAGTAGTGTACTTGCAATATGTCCGTAGCTCATGTTGGTTATCCTAGACTTCTTCCTAAGCAATACTGAGTTTGTCCACCGCCCTCTTAAAGAGATCCTGAAATTGGAAGAGTCCATCTGTAGATGTAGATATGATGGGCAATTCAGCTTGTTGAGGTGAAGGGGGTGCCCCAGTGACCATAGGTAAATCATCCTCTGCGATTTGTTTGTATGTCCAGTATAGATTCAGTACTAGAGTCTACCTCCACTTGAAGGGTTGGTGGAGGAGGGTTGTGGACTTGCCTCCATGTACCAGAATGGTTAGTGTGTCGCACTCTGTAGTGTTCTCTGTTACTCCAGTATGGCAGGTAGCCAGGGAATGGCATAGGTGGTGCCATCCAGGGGTGGATATTCCAAAGGTATTGTGTGGCAGGTGTACTTTGCCTGCATGGGTCCCTATACCTATAGGGTGGAGAAAGGTCTTTGTTCTCCAAGTCATCTTATAGTCAGTCGTGGGGGACTGACTATATTGTGCTTGTAGCTCTGGAGAGGAGATCCTAGAGATGGGAAGAGCATGAGATCAGCTGCACTGTGGAACTGGTGCTGAGCAGAGCCAAACTACAGTATATGTTCTGGAGCAGAGTGGGACTACAGTGTTGTGCTGAAGTGAGCTGGCAACAGTGAAAGCTGAGGAGAGTGTTGGTGCCCTATGAGTCACAGCTGTTTGTTGCTGCATTGTTGAGGAAACATCCAAGGCTGAAATGGAATGTCAGGATCAAAGGCAAGTGCTGCTTTGGTATTTGAATAGGCTGCTGTGAGCCTGAGGCTGGCACTGGGGTCACTGAGGGGACCATAGGTGCATACTGAGAAGCGGCCAGCTGAAAGCCCTTTGCCTCAGCACCTTGAGAAGCAGTTGCCAACTGATGGTACCTGAGGTGCCTGCGCAGTTAAAAGTGGCTGACACGGATGAAACTGAAAGTCTGTGTTTCTTTGCTCTGCAGATTTTTTCCTAAACGTTGAGAGTTTTTGTTAAGAGTCTGCAGAGGATCGGATGCAAGTCTGAGGGAGTCCTAGAGCAGTGAAGTATCAGAGGGATAGCCGTGTTGGTCTGAATCTGCAAAAGCGACGAGGAGTCCTGTGGCACCTTATAGACTAACTGAAGTGTAGGAGCATAAGCTTTCGTGGGCAAAGACCCACTTCGACAGATGCATCTGACGAAGTGGGTCCTTGCCCACGAAAGCTTATGCTCCCACACTTCGGTTAGTCTATAAGGCGCGAGCAGTGAGAGCTTCAGATGCAGCTTCCTGTTCGAGTCCATGTTTTTAATTTTTGATATAGTGAGCACATTTTGGGGGGGACAGGAGAGTCTCCCTCAAATACCTAATGCACTGAGAGTGACCATGAGATACAGAGATGGCCTCTTTAGAAGAGGAACACCTCTTGAAACCGGGAGAGCCTGGCATGTTGAAACAAATGAGTGGTTTTTTTGTTTGTTTTTTAAAGGAAGAAGAAAAATACTGTTATGTAACTATGTATAAACTAAGTAACTATGTTGCTGAGGTGAACAGCATGACAGCTGTACTCCGTCTCTGGCCTGGGACAGTAGAGAAGGAATTGAGGCTCCCAGCCCGTGCACGTGCTAGTTATACAGGCAAAGTGCATGTACAGCCTGGGAGGTATGGGTACTGCTGATAAATCTCTGATGAAAGGCGCTGGGATGCATTTTGACCTGAGTGGAGCACCCACAGAGACATTTGTTGAAGGAGAATGTTACATACCCACATACCCATATTTAGGAGATCATCCACATTGGTGGATCCTCTCACAATGGAGCTTAGATGTAGAATCAAATTCTCTTGTACGCTCAAAGTCACCCTCAAATGGGCTAACAGATTTATTGGAGATTATGGTAAAAGAAGGTTGTCATGATTATGAGGGTTAGCCAGCAGCCTGGGGATTAAGGGGTTAACTACACCTAGCCAGGTGGAGTGACCAATAGGAAAGTAGGTGGGACTTTTCAAACTGGGACAAAGGAATTTGGGTTTTTTTTCTTTTCTTTGTCCTTTTGTCTCTCTGAGAGAGTTCTCTGCAGCTACAGAGAGGGACAAGCATGTCTCTCTCTCTCTCCAAGACACCATTCTTCATTTTCTGTAAGTAGGGTAAAGTTTAGGTAGTTTCATTAGGTTTTATTGTGTTATGGATTGGGTATGGGATCTGATGTCTGGCACTGCTTAAAAGATGTTTTGGCTTTTCTTTGTAACTAAGTTCTAGGCCCATGGAGTTTCTCCATGAGTATATTTTGTTACCTTCCTCTCTAGTCATTATACTTGCAACCAGAATATTGTTGTAATAATAAAAGTTCTTTCTTTTCTTTTATTAACCTGGCAGTGGTTAATGGTGTGCCCTGATTTTTGTTTTAGGGGGAAGATTTCCCAAATGATCTTTCCCCTGGTTTCTTTAGCAACATTTGGGTGGTGGCAGCGGAAGTTTTATTCCCAAGATCTAGGTTTTTAAGATCTTGGGGGAAGTTTTATACCAAAGCCTGGTAGATAAGGCTTTGGGGTACACTTGCTGGCCCCCACTTCTGCATTTATCATGCCAGAGTGGGGAAGGAGCTATGACAAGGTGCAGCCTGAACTATGGCATGTGGAAAGCACTCGCATCAACCCAATAATGACTAAAAGCGAAAACAAATGACTGGGAAACAATCTGCCAAATCTCCATCCAAAAAGGGTTTTTTTCAAACATAAGAGGAAACCACTATTTTTTTATGCCATCTCTACACTATGTGGAAGATAGATGCTGCCATGATGGATCTTCTGGAGTTCGATTTAATGGGTCTAGTTAAGACTTGCTAAAGCGAACTCAGAGGGTGCACCCATTAGCGACTGGTACTCTTTCTCTTGGGAGCATTTGCTCCTGTTGGCCTCCCACTGTAGGGACAGTGGGGAAACTTAAATCAAGGTACATCGACTCTGGCTACATAATTAATCTTGATTCAACCTTCCCTTTTAGTGTAGAGCTGACCTCTGATGACTGCATCTCCAAAGGTATTTGCTACATAATGGGGCTGCTTTTAGAAGGCAAAACAGGAAGCAGAAAAACTTTGATATAAGAGGTATATTATGGGGTATTAGAGCATAGCAACAGACCAATTATCCATACTAGCATTTCCCATCCCGTTGCAATGGTAGATGTACACATGGCCTCTTCCCTCCCCGCTGTTCCCAGGGGCAGGGAGGCTTGGGCCAGCTCAGACCATGTGGCTGCTTCCCTTCCTACTGCTCCAGGGCCAGGGAGGCTGGACCCATGTGGCCTCCTCCCTCCCCGCTGCTCCTGGGTTTGGGGAGGCTCAGGGGGAGTAGGTGTAGGGAGGCTCGGGACATGCGATCTCTTCCCTTCCTGCTGT